CTAAGCATGGTTAAAATCAGATGTTACTACTATTATTATTAGCACGAAGATGGGAGAAAATTGGTGAAGGGTAGCAATAAACAAACGTTACAAATAATTATTGGTATAATCGCTGGAACTTTTCGGATATCCCTTGAGCATTAATTCAAAAAGGCTTTCGGATTTTTTTTATCTGCAGCAGATGCCCACCTGAGGTGTTATACAAACAGTGATAAACATGGCAATTTCTGAGCTTATGAGCCTCTGGTATGTGCGTGTGTGTGTGTGGTGGGGACTGACAAAGAGCCAAAATATTCGTTGGAATATATTAGAGAATGTCCCAGGTTTTATATAATAATAACAACATAATCCTTACATTTGATATAACACCTTATCATGTTGTTGAGATGTCTCAAAGCATTTCATGGAATATACTGTAAAGTGAATTGATTGTATATTTTTGTACTCAAATCACGGCAGCTAATTGCGCACAGCAATGTCCCACAAACAGTTGTGGATTGAGTGACCCAATTATTATTATTATTATTTTTTGATGGCATTATTAGCCCCAGAAAGCCAGTCGACTACAAATCTCCAAACTATTGATTATCTAAATAGATAGAATTAGAACCATGGAAATTTATGGCACAGAAAAAGGCCATTGTGTCTGCTCTGGCTCCCTCAAGAGCAATCCTCTCAGTCTCAGTTACAATAATAACTTGCATTCATATAGCACCGCTCATGCAGGGCAGCATCCCAGAGCGCTTGACAGTGGCGGAGCACGACTCCGAGCCAGGGGGAGGGGGAGGTGACCGTAGGCACGGTCGAATAGGAAGGTCTTCAGGCGCGACCTGAAAATGGGGAAGGAAGGGGCAAGGCGGAGGGGTACAGGAAAGGTGTTGCAGAGTTTCAGGGCGTAGTGGCTGAAAGGGCAGCCACCAACGGTAGAACGGAGGGCACGGGGGACATGCAGTAGACCGGAGCCAGTCGAGTTGGAGGCAGCGGGTTGTGGGGTAAGCTGGTCGGAGAGGTCGGGAGGTGTTACCTATCCTTTCCTCATACCCATGTATTTCTGGGCTTTCCAGACTTTCTGAGCTCAAGACCCCACATGGCACTAGGCATCCTGACAGGATAAATCCACACAATAAATCCAAAGAAATTTACTGCCTTTAATTGCAAACAATGTTTTAATGCTTAATATTTAAAAAAAAACTGATAGTCAAACCAAACCCCCTTTGCCCATTAGCAAGGTTAGCAAATCCTAATACGTACACAGTATAATCATGTTAAAAAATAATAAACTTAATGTGGAAAAGACTTAATGTGGCTTACTGAGAGTGAATGTAAAAGTATGTATTTTTGCATTTACCTTGTATTCTAAACCTTTTATTCTAAAACGGGTGTGAGCAGATGTTACATTTGAAATAACCACAAACACAACAGTTCTAAGATATTTATATAGTTCCCTCTTGAAGGCCATATGGATTCTGCGCTTCGAGGTACTGCTGGACTTTAACCAGCTAAAACCGCACAACTTTTCTTTGCTAACATTCCTCCTCCAGGGAGACCACCTCACCCATCAAGTCTCGCAGGGTTAACCGGAGCCGGGTAGGAAGAATCTCAGTCCCCCAGTTGCCCCTGTGATTATAAAAACTAACGGGATGGTTAGTGTTAACGGAAGTGTGACCTGTGATATATTTAGCTCTGCTGGGCGTTGAGTCATGAGATTGCATTTATTACAGGAGCAAATGTTCGGATGTCTGAGCAATCTGTTGTTAATCCACTAGTGGTAGGAATTATCAAAAGGCTGAGTGATACAGCACTGCTGCAGAATGCTCACTGTGGTAGTCATGTTAAATTGTGGCGAGGTGCAAAATTTGACTATTAAATCTCATTTGTAGTTATTGGTTGAACAGTTAGTTATATGTAGTGTTCAGAGGTTCTTCCTGGTTTTGACAGAATAGATAGGGAGGGAGTGACTAGAGGGCATTGATTTAAGATAATTGCCAAAGGAGCAAAGAGGGAGATGAGGAGGATTTTGTTTTGCACAGAGGGTTTTTCTAATGTTGAATGAAGTGATCGAGGCACAATCCACGTGAGTTTTCATCAGGGATCTACAACAACCTTATCCAACTCGCCCCCTCAAAGACGCGGTGGACAAGGAGGCGCACTTGCCTTCCCCTCAGCTCCACGGCACACTGCAGTAACGGCCGGCATTCTTTCCACTGTCCGTGCTGTGTCCTCCCAACCGCCCGCTCCTGCCGCTGCCACGACAGGACGTTCCCCAGCGAGGGAGAAAGCCCAAGTTCGAATGATGGAAATGGTCTCGGGTCGGATAAAATCACCTGCCCCGCGCGGGGGCTGGATGCTGGTGCTTGAGAGCGAATGATTTCTCTCTCTCTCTCTCTCTCTCTCTGCTTTTGTGGCAATTATGTTACAAAAATTCCATGACCTCCATCTTGTATCAGTGATGTGGAAAGCTCCGGAGGTCGGTGTGCTAACTGCTATTGCTTCCTGAAAACAGTACCGAATGGAATGAAGTCACGCAAAACAGACACGATTACTCCTCACCCAATGGCTCAGCTCAGCCATACGCGTTAAGGTGCGATCCTGTGACTGTGCTGACTTAGCTGATGGCAGTCAGGACTCCAGGCTGAGAATCAGCCAAGGTCCCTATTCATTCATACTTTCCTCTCCCCACTTCCCTGCACGGTGCACATGTGTGGAAGTTGGAGAAGGATAGGATTGGTCTGGATCATAAGGTCATCCCACTGAATACCTTGCCGATCCCCACTGTGCTCCGAGACGCAGTCCGGTGTGAAGGCCGCTGTATAAATGCACGTTGTTGTTGCTCAGGGTCATGCTTGAAGAATGGCCATTTGGGTGATCAGTGCTCATAAATACTTTGCAGCTTTCAGTTGGAATGGGGGGGAGGGATGTTAAAAAAAAAAGGAGCTTCCGTTGATAGCTATAAATACAATACAAATTTACATTGACAAAGCACCTTTCACGTCAGGAGGACAATTCTGGCTTGACACCCGAGTTGGGGGTGAGAGCTGAGGGAGATGGGGAAGGGAAAGATGTCTGAAAGGGCGGTCAAAGAGGTAGGTCTTGAGTCAGACCCGGCATTATTTCCACTCTCCGCGCTGCATCCTGGAGTCCTGTAGCTCAGTGGTTAGAGCACTCGCTTTGCAAGCGAGAGACCTGAGTTCAATTCCAGGCAGAGGGCGAAACCTCGGGCAAGTTTCCTTACTCCACACAGAGCCTAATAATAATCCCTCCAAAACCAAAAACAATAATAAATTGGTCATTTTCAATCTACGACTGTTTGTGGGACATTGCTGTGCGCAATTGGCTGCCGCGTTCGCCCACAAATATACAGTCAATTCACTTTACAGTGTGTTCTGTGAAGCGCTTTGGGACGTCCTCCCGACGTGAAAAGCGCTATATCAAATGCAAGGGTTATTATTATTATTATTCTCCTCCCAACCGCTGGCTCTGCCGCTGCCACAAGTTTTCTCTTGGTATTGGGCTCAGCTTGGTGAGAGTCAAGGATTGGGGAACCCAGAGTATGTGTTTGGAGTTTAACCAGCTAAATGGCTAAGCTTGCCATTGAGAGCACTATATAATAAGCTACCTCTGCTTGTCCAGGTAGGAGCACACGACCGATTAGGCTTCGAGAGGTAATAGGAGCCGAGTTGGAAGAATCGTTGTCCCCCCCCAGTGATCAGTTCTTTCTCTTTTGCTGAGCTCAAACATAACATTTATAATCCATTTTAATGAGGCAAAGCCTATTCAACGCCTGTCAGAGGTTCCATTTACCCAATGATTGAGATTCTTATTTGATGTTGAGCCAGTCTTGATTTATCTGGAGGTAAAATTGGAAAAAGGTATAATTTTTTTAAAAAAACTTTCTTTCCCATAATATCTTGCATTTATATAGCATCTTGGAGCACTGGTAATAAAAGATACAAGTGTCAAAAGCAACAACTGAGAGTAAGACTAGAATCGATCTATAATAATAATCCTTGCATTTGATATAACGCCTTATCACATCTTTGACGTCTCAAAGCGCTTCACAGAATATACTATAAAGTGAATTGACTATATATTTTCTGGCAAAACCCAGCAGTCAATTGCACACACCAGTGTCCCACAAACAACAACAACAAATTACATTTGTATAGCACCTTTTACGTCAGGAGGACATCCCAAGGCGCTGGACAGTCAGGGATCCCCACCCAAGTTGGTTGGGATCAGAAGTGGTGGAGGACAGGAAGGGTAGGGGTAGGAGGGTGACCTCAAGCATGGTTGAAGAGGAGGGTCTTGAGACGGGTCTTTAAGGAGGCAAGGAAGGGGCGAGGCGGAGGGACTGTGGGATGGCATTCCAGAGGGTAGGGGCAGAGAGGCTGTAGGCCTGCCTGCCAATGGTGGGTCGGGCAAGGCAGGGGCTGTGAAGCGGGCTGAAGCCTAATAAGCGGATGGAACGGACAGGTTGCTAGGGGGTTAGGAAGTCACAGAGATAGGGAGGAGCAAGGCCGTGGAAGCCTTTGAATGTGAGGACCAGAATCCTCTGAGTGATGGGAAGCCAGTGACATCGGGCAAGGATGGGGGTGATAGGGTTGTGGAGAGGTAAGAGTAGGAGACAAACAGGCAGTCATCGATTGAGTGACCAATCAATTTATTTATTTATGTATATTTTAAAGGAATTTTTACCCCTGGAAAAGCGATTCGCCAATCAACCAACAACCGGGTTCCTTCATAAGGTTTAGAACTGATGAAGGCTGAACTGCAAGCAATAAAATAGTGGTGAAATTGATGCAGCTTGTTTTTACTACTTTTAAAATCGATTTCACATCAGTTCACGATGTTTCCTGCGACCTGCCTTTCTTTCCTTGTTTTTATGTTTACAGTGCTGTGGTGGACAATCATTGTTGTTGACCTTATGGTTTTTTAAAAAAACTTAAAACGAACGTGAACTGCCATAAAATAAATTTATATCATTTAACTTTTCCTTTCAGATCAATGAACTTAGCCACGTGCAGATTCCTGTTATGTTGATGCCAGACGACTTCAAAGCCTACAGCAAGATAAAAGTGGATAATCATCTTTTTAACAAGTAGGTGGAGCATGTAATACTCTCCTCCATTTTATTGGATAGATAAAAAAAGAGATGCTCCTAAATGTAATGGTTTAAACTGGCTGCATTCAATTATTAAACTTTCATGCATAAAGTATGTACCCTTGTGTCATTTTCTTTGAACTTTTTATTGAGCATGGAAGGATGTGTGGAGCTTCCATGGGTCAGTTAGATTGTAATGCTGTAGCTCTTTTTTTGTTTGTTTCAAATGAATTTGAGTTCTTTTTGCATTGAAAAATATCTTGGATTCTGTTTTCCAAAATATCCTGATTTAAAAAATATATTTATATTAAAATGTGGCATTTGATCTTGTGTTGATAATACAGTTTCCAAATTCCTTCATGTCCTGGCAACTCCCTACGTCTCTGACCTACTTACTCCCCAACCCACTGCCCGCTGTCTCCGCTCAACTGGCTCCAGCTTCCTGAATGTCCCTCGTGTCCTTTGTTCCATCATCGGTGGCCACGCCTTTTGCCAACTATGCCCCGAAACACTGAAACACCCTTCTTCTATCACTCCGCCATCTTCAGATCGAGCCTGAAGATTTTCCCTCCATCTCTTCCTCAATAAGATGGTTCTTGTTGGGGAATCGTGGAGTAACATTGAAAGATATTACAGGTAAATCTGTCTTGTGCTTAAAATTGAAAGGAGAAAGAGCTGTAATCATTGGAAAAAGACGTGCGGCTCACTCTTTCATCACCATTGTTTAGAAAGTATGACCCAATCTTAGTTTGTGGTCACCTGATAACAACAACAAATTAGGGGAAGTTGTACATGAATGGCACCAAATTTGACTTTCAAATTCCCCATTCTGCACACGGCAATGTTCCTGCACAGGAGGGAAAGGAGGAGACTGAAATGGCACAGATCTATCAACTTCCATTGATTCGTAGGCACGTGACAAGAGATGGTTTAACATGCTCCAAATGTTGAATTGACCAAACTCTTCATTGCTTCTTTCAGAGAGAATCTTCCAAGCCGTTTCAAATTTAAGGAATACTGCCCCATGGTGTTTAGGAATCTACGGGAGCGGTTTTCTATTGACGATCAAGATTACCAGGTAGGTTTCTCTTTCCTGCTGCTTAAGTGTAGACTTTCTATAGAACTGCTTTTAATTGTGTCTGAAAATTAAATTGTGACTATCCGTGAGCTGAAATTACTAAATCCAAAGATTATATCTCTTCAATGTCTTCACTGTGCTTGGGATATCTGCGCCAGAGGGAACTGGAGGGAGATAAAGGTTTGTTGGGGCTATTGTCAACTGCTTTTTTTAAAAAAAAAACATCTGCAGTGTAGAAATGGCACAAAGTATTACAGATCATGGTCTTGTTTATCCCCTCTTTGGTCTTGATTCTCAATTGGTTTTATTGTGACATTACTGTGTCTGACCCAACTGACTAGATCATACGGTTCACTGGAGCTCTGGGACACTACCACATGTGAAGGGCGCTATGTAAAAGTTTTTGTTGTTGTTCTTGATTACATTGTGAAGGGTGCTTGTTCGTATGGATTTGATTTGGGCTTGATTAATTGAGCAAAGCCAGCTCTTAGACAGCCCCCCGCCACCCCCGTAGGAAGTTTTCCCAGAGACCATGTAAGAGAGAATTGGACACTTATTTGTGTAAAATAATAATATAGCGAACAAAATGAGATTGAAATAATAACGGCGGGGGGGAGGGGGTGGCAAGAGGGAACCAACCCAAACAAGATGGACTGAATGGTCTCCTGTGTTGTGAATATTTTACGACTCCATGAACATTGCTGTTTGGTGTTTGCGAGACTCTTAACTCAAGGGACAAGTGCTTTCTACAAACTGGGCGACATTGTGTACAGCTCTGAAGGTCACTTCAGGTCAGCCTGGCTTAGGTTTACTTATCCCCCATGGCGTAGCCTCTAGACAGCTGTTGAGTTCTCCCCTTGAACATCTAGATATTCAATGCTGTATTGTTTGTGCGTCAAAAAAATACTCGGGACCATCGAAAAGGATGGGTCAGGAGAGGACCCTGCACATCACATTCTTGAGTGATTTTCCATGAGACAACTCACTGCATTTACAGAGCACGAGAACATTGGCCCCGTCTGTTTTGGCTAGATTTAGTGGGTGGTGGTGATGGTGGGGTGAGGCACAGTGGCTGAATTCTTTTTTGATAAAACGTCTTGGTGTGGGGACGAAGGGTTAAAATGAATAGGGCATGTGTGTCTCTTAGCCGTTTGATTTTTGAGCTCTTACATTTAGCTCCAGACTTGCCAACTGCTAACCACATGCTACTGAAAAGCCCCACTGTAATGGCTGAATGCAGACAGCAGCTTGGAGATAAATAGCCTCAGTGTTGACCCATTTCTATCCCCTAGGCACAGATCCTGGAGGACTTGAGCCCAGATAAATGGCTGTGTCCTCCAAGCAGTGTTAAACCAAACCAAGTTCTAGAAAACCACCTTCAGAAATCCTGATCTGAGCATGATGTAGTTTCACCATAGAATTTCATTAGAAAATTATTGTGCATAAATCAGAATTCAACCACACTGATGCAATGTATAGGGAATCACACCTATGCTCTGCCAGTTCATATATATAAAAAAATCCTTGCACTTGATATAGTTCCTTTCATCCTGGTAGGATGTCTCAAAGCGCTTCACAGGAATCCCGTAGCATAGTGGTTAGCACGTTTGCTTCGCAAGCAAGAGTATCTGGGTTTGATTCCCAGGCAGGGCGAAAGTTTAGGCAAGTTTCCTTACTCCGCTCGCCACTATTTACCTAGCAGTAAGTAGGAACCTGGTTATTAGTCGATTAGTGGATCGCTTTCCGGGGATAATAATCACTCCCTCCCCCCAAAAATAATCTACATCTCTTTGTGGGACACTACTGTGCGCAATTGGCTGCCGTGTTTCGCCCACAAAATACACAGTCAATCCACTTTACAATATATTCTTTGAGACGTCTCAACGACGTGATAAGGTGCTATATGAAATGCAAGGATTATTATTATACATTAGTTACTTTTGTAGTGTAGTGATTTGTGCACAGTGATGACAGTGCAATAAATAAAATAATAATAATCCTCGCATTTGATATAGCGCTTTATCACGGTTTTGTGGCGTCTCAAAGCGCTTCACAGAATATACTGTAAAGTGAATTGATTTGTGTATTTTGTGAGGGAAACGAGGCAACCAATCGCCCACAGCAGTGTCCCACAAACAGTCGTGTTTTGAGTGACCAAAAGTTTTTTTTGCAACCGATTAATATCCCCAGAAAAGCGATCTGCCAATCGACTAACAACCAGGTTCCTACTTACTGCTAGATAAACAGAGGCAAGGAGTAAGGATACTTGCCTACGGAGTTCTACATATTGAAGCCACCTCCACATGAAATTTTCCATGTCTGGAATATGCATTCTTTCCCTAGAGGGATGCACTCGGCCTACCTAATTCCAGAGAGTACTAGGCACGGGTTGGTGACAGAGCCAAGGAGTGCGTTGAGGTATCTGCTGAAGATCAATCAGCTAAAACTGCATAAAAGAGCAGAGTCTGGGAAGCTTCCCACTGCTTGTTCAACTAGGATCATCCTAACTGCTAGGGCTCTGGCTTGCATGGTTAACAGGAGAGCCATGTGGGAAGAATCTTTGCTCCCAGTGACAGATTAGATTTTGGAACACCTCATTTTGACTTTTAAGCCTAATTATAGTAGTTTAAATTCTGGAGAGGGGAGGCAGGTGGTGAGAACGTGTAGTAATGGTGTTCTGCCACTAGATATCTCTAGTGCATTTTGTAAAATACTGTTAACATTTGTACAGAGTATTAGAGGTCCCCAGCTCTGAGAATGTCAGCTGTCTGCAAAGTAACATTTGTTGTTGTTATTGTACAGTTTAGATTTACTGAATTATTGATAATGAGCAATGCTTTTCCAATTCCAATACAACAAAGACTGTCTGAAACTCAAATTCTCTGAAGATTTGACAGCAACGGGAGGCTGTTGCATCCCAATGAATTAATTCACAGCTTAATAGGCAGTGAGCAATTGAAATCTATCCACAATCATTTGCCAGCCCAAAACTCACAATATGTATATAGCAACCTTCACACGAGGTGGCGTCCTGGAGCGCTTGACAGTGGCGGAGTCTGACTCCAAGCCAGGTGGAGGGGGGAGGTGACCATAAGCATGGTCAAAAAGAAAGGTCTTTAGGCGTGATTTGAAGGTGGGGAAGGAGGGCGGGAGGGGGCAAGGCGGAGGGATTGAAGGAGAGAGTTTCAGGGCGTAGTGGCTGAAGGCGTGGCCACCGGTGGTGGAGCGGAAGGAACGAGGGACAATCATTTATTCTAAAGGCATTAGCAACTGAAATAATTCATTATTAACACCACAGATAAATATCTTGGGAGACAGTTGGTACAGCTGAGAGATCAAAGGTATCAGAGCACATCTGTGGCGAAGCAAAAACTATGAGCCAACCAGAAACGTCTTTTAAGCCACGGTTCATTCAGTTTGTGGTAGTTTTCTAAGCTGTACTGCTTTTCTCACCTATAAATTGCGGGAAGATTAGCCGACTGAGAACCAGTACTGGAAACTGAAATTAACTCCCTGTATTTTTGATAAATAAAGCTGCAGTGAGAAAGAGAGGATGGGATAGGAATGGGGAGAGGAAGAGAAAACAAGACGGGGGAATTGGCAGGAAGGGGGGGTAAAGAAAGAAAAGTGAGTGCATGGAGAGAGAGCTTTAGAGAGGGTTTTTTGGTAAGTAAATGTTGGGGTTCACGCCCCACTGGAAGTGAACCCATGTTACAATGAAGCACAACAATGAAGTTACAATAACAGGACTTTACTGTACGGTGCTCACTGAATATTTAATCCGGAAAGCTGCAAAAATTCTTAATGGCAGGTCGGGAAAAGCCAATTATTTTGACTGGAACTTGCTGTTAAAGTGCTGCTAACCCCCAGGTCAGAAGCCTATGCTTATCAGTCCAGCGAGATGGAGATTTCAGCTGTAATTTGTGTGCTGTGCAGCCGTCAGACATTCCTGAATGATCTCCCTGTTATTTCCCACTTTGGGCAGAAGGAGTGAAATCTGTGATGGGAGGAAGAGAGGAGGGGAGAAGGACATTAACCACTTGCTTTTGCTTGGGGTAGCGTCCAGGAGGACTTCACAGTGTCAGCCAGGGAGAGAGGGAATGGGCCAACGACCGTCAGCACGATCAAAAAGGAAGGTCTTTAGACAGGATTTGAAGGTGGGGAGGGAGGGGGCAAGGCGTAAGGCAAATAGGAGGCCGGAGCCAGCCGAGCAGATGCAGTGGGTGGTGGAGTGGGGTTTAAGCAGGTTGGAGAGGTAGGGAGGTGCGAGGGAATTAAGTGATTTGAAAACGAGCGAGAGGATCTCGACACGGGAAGAGTGAGCCAGACCCTAAACTACTCTCGTTTCCAGCTGAAAAAATCCTAGTTCCTCCATTCTCTGCTCATAGGCCAAACCACTCATCTGACCAGACTCTAGAAAATATAACTTCTTACTTTGAATATAATTGGATGAGTGAGATGTTAATGGGACGAGACAATGTTCCACCTGCCTATTCAGGTGGATATTATAGATCGCATGGCACTATTCGAAAAGAGAAGGGAATTTGTCTCTCCCGGTGTCCGGACTAACAATCCCTCAGCTAAAATTGGTCACTTGCTCCACGACTTTTTGTGGGATATTGCTGTGCGCAACTGGCTGCCGGGTTTCGCCCACAAAATACACAGTCACTGCACCTACAGCTTATACTGTGAAGCGCTTTGAGACGTCTCAATGACGTGATAAGGCACGATATCAAATGCAAGGATTCTTATTATAATAATCATCCAGGAGAAAGAGTTCGCTTTTCTTTTCACCTTCAAATTGTCCCAAATGTGGTTAATTTAATGACAATAGACAGATTCCGCGTCACCTGCTGGCAATGCATATTCTAGCAGGAGCGCTTTCTATTAATGACGATTTCCAATATACATTCTCCTTACAAGGTGAATTCCTTCCATTGTATATCCAGGGGTTTCTGCTTGTGGTTTGGCAATGCTGGAGCCAGGATTCCAAACAGGCTGCGTAACTTGATTTAGTGGCTAAACATCAGTTTTGGTCAAAGCTATTTTGTGAGTGGCTTGTGTAAGTGCCCTGCCTTGCACAGCCTTTATTTAAACACTTGAGCATTATCAGCGTGTGCGTGTTTGTGTGCTTTAATTAAACCATTGCTGACTTGTATGTGTTTGCATGTGCTGTAAAACCCGGTCATCTTGAATGCATTACACAAGTCGGACATTTAGCATCAATGATCAGCCCTTTGTTTCTGAGCACAAAGGAGTACGGTAGATGTATAGCAGCGGTCTGTATCACAACTGGCGATTAGCATTCCCTCTTGGTTTGTCCCAAGGACTACATGAGAATTATGGGTACGATGCGGTTTTTGTGAGTGTCTTTAGACTGCTGTGGGCAAGCTGGCAGTGAGGATAGAGTTTTTTTTAAAGCCCTGTTGCTCCCGCTAGTGTTTTGGATTCAGCGCTCTGAGATACTCCTCTGCGTGAGGGGACACTATATAAATGCAAGTTGTTGTGGTGGAAATGGTGATTGATGGAGAAAGAGGCTTGTGTGGGGTAAACCGAGGCTTTGTTTATGATGATAATAATAATAATAATAATCCTTGCATTTTAGTATAGCCTTATCATGTCTCCGAGACGTCTCAAAGCGCTTCACAGAATATACCGTAAAGTGAATTGACGGTATATTTTGTGGGCGAAACGCTCTCCTAACCTGCTGCTTAGAGCGAGATAAATGAGATGCCACTGTTACTGCACTGTCTGACTCTGCAGTAGGTGTTGCTCATGCTTTACCAACATTGTCTTTGGCTCAGGCGCAGTGCAGCCCACCCACCCTCCGCTCTGATGAAGCCAAGATCCCGCTTCCTGTCATGTGTCAGCCTGGCGCAGTGGTAGCACTCTCGTCTCTGAGTTAGAAGGTTTTAGGTTCAAACTCCACGTCAGGACATAGTCCAACCTGACACTCCAATGTGGTACGAAGTGGGGGGAGGGGGGATGTGGTTGCTGCATTGTCGGAGGTACAATCCTTCAGATGAGACGTTAACCAAGGTCGCATCTGCCTGTTCAGGTCCGTGTTAACTATTTGAAAAAAGAAGAAAAAAGAAGGCATCATTGACCAATTAAAATTGGTCACTCACTCCATGGCTGCTTGTGGGACACTGCTGTGTACAATTGGCTGGTTTCGCCCACAAAGTACACAGTCAATCCACTTCATAGTATATCCTGTGAAGTGCTTTGAGACGTCTCAACAATGCGATAAAGCGCTACAGGATGTCCTGTAGCTCAGTGGTTAGAGCACTCGCTTTGCAAGCGAGAGACCTGAGTTCAATTCCAGGCAGAGGGCGAAACCTTGGGCAAGTTTCCTTACTCCACACAGAGCCTAATAATAATCCCTCCAAAACCAAAAACAATAATAAATTGGTCATTTTCAATCTATGACTGTTTGTGGGACATTGCTGTGCGCAATTGGCTGCCGCGTTCGCCCACAAATATACAGTCAATTCACTTTACAGTGTATTCTGTGAAGCACTTTGGGACGTCCTCCCGACGTGAAAAGCGCTATATCAAATGCAAGGAATATTATTATATCAAATGCAAGGATTATAATTATTATTAGTTGGTTTAACAAGCAGCAGTGATGACTGTCCGAGCCTGTGTAAGCATAGCTCATTTGGGAGGGCCCTTAGCTCTTGTCAGAAATCATGAAGTGAACGAATCAAAAAGATCTGGAGGATTGTTGGCCATGAAACCAGGGCAACGTCTCTTTTCAAAGTGTAGCCGGATCTTTAATGTCTACCTGAATAGGCAGGTGGGACTGGGGCTTAATATTTCATAAGAAGCACATTCCCCCTGCCCCACAAGACATACAACAACAACAAGATTACATTTGTATAGCGCTTCTCACGTCGGGAGGATGTCCCAAGGCGCATATACTGCAAACTCAAAATGTGAACTCAAAATCCTCTTTTTGGGGGTGGTGGGAAAGCAAGAAAATGGGATTAAAAGATTTAAAAGGATCTAAGAAACTGGCAGAACAGGCTGGATGGGTAGAACGGCTTCCTTCTGTTCCAGGCTTGGAAATATCTCAAACCTGAATCTCTGCTGTGTTTCTTGCGTTGAGGTGGCTTCCCCCCACCACCAGTTTTACTTTGATTGCTGCAAATACACGGTATAATAAATAATCATTGCATTTGATATAGCACCTTATCAGGTCTTCGAGACGTCTCAAAGCGGTTCGCAGTAAAGTGAATTGATTATGTTTTGTGGGCGAAACGTGGCATCCGATTGCTCACAGCTATGTCCACACACAGCCATCGATTGAGTGACCAAATTGTTTTATTTATTTTATTATTTTTGAAGGGACTATTACCCTTGGAAAAGCGATCCACCAATCAACCAACAACTAGGTTCCTATTTACTGCAAGTAAACAAGGTCTGTGGAGTAAGGAAATCTGCCTAATTTATCGCCCTCCCCGGGAATCGAACCCGGGTCCTCTCGCTTGGGAGGCGAGCACACTAACCACTAAGCTACAGGACAGTATAAACATGTCCTTGAGGTAAACAGTGCCCCTTCCTGTAATGCTAGTGGATTTGGGAGGTGGATTTGACCAGGAATTATTTTTTCTGCATCAAATTGCTGCTTTTTTATGGGTTTTAGTCCATTCAACCTTTTACAGCACAAGTTTGAACTCCTACGATAAATTATGGAGAAGCATAAAGGATGTTTCTGACTGACTGAACCTCATTGTTTTTTTTATTTATATATGTATACAAGGGATTGTGCATTGATGAAAGGGCTAAACGTACTGTACACAAGCTCTGAAGCTTGGTCCTGTTTGGCGGAGGGGAGAGAAATTGGGGTTAAAAAAAAAGTGCTTTCTATAATCTGATACTGACAATGAACTCAGAGATGTGTATGTAGATAGGTGTCAGTGAAACAAACAGACACTGCTTACCATTCTGCTTTGCCATTTACCAAAGTGCCGCTTCCTGTGCTAAACGAGACCCCAGAATAAAACCGCCATCGTTTTTGCGATGGCCTGGGATATTGATGTGAATGTATAGATTACCTGGTTATCACCATCTGCCGCAGCAGCTGCACGTTTTGGATGTTTCTGCATGGAATGCCTAAGATTTCAGTGCTATCTTAAGATAATTGATGCTGCAGAAAAGGTTCGAACCAAAGCTCCGTAGATATTTACTTTATTCACAGCACAGGAGGAGGCCTTTCAGCCCATTATGGCTGTGCTGCTTCTCAAAAAGCGAAAGAGCACTCCCCATTTAGTCCCATTCTACCCCCCCCCCCTCCCAACATACATTTTTCTACTGGCATTACACATTGTCACAACCATGTCTGTGTACGGTATCTGTTTGTGTGACTGTGTGTAAAACAAATTCTCTCAACCTTTCCCTTTGATCTTTTGAAAATTACCTTAAATGACTTACGGACTGGACTCACTGACCAGTCAAAATAATTTCTCCCTGTTTATGATATCCCTCATCCATGCGTTCATCACATCCAGGCTCGACTACGCAAACTCACTGCCTCCCCAACTCCTCCCTCCGCAGGCTTAGGTGCGGATCCCTGACTGTCCAGCGCCTTGGGATACCCTCCTGACATGAAAGGCACTACACAAATGTGACTTGTTGTTGGTGGTGGTGTCAAAACCCTTCAGTGTTGAAAACCTCCCTGAGTCGCTTCTCTGGTTCAATTTCTGCAGTCTCTTCTGATACGCTTGAGACGGTAGGAATCATAATCCACGGACATTCGTGCCACTCTTTATCCCCCGGGTGATGTACTTGTTTGCTCTTTCTTTCAGAACTCGGTCACGCGGAGTGCACCCATACACAGCGACTCACACAACCGAATGGGAGTCCGGTTCCTCACCACGTACGACAAAAGATTCGTCATTAAAACTATTTCGAGTGAAGACGTGGCGGAGATGCACAGTGTTTTAAAAAAGTACCACCAGGTGGGGAGCAGGAGTTGGTGTGCTTTACAATTGTGCCGGTGAAGAGCGGGAGGCAATGGGAAGCAGAGTCCTGTAGTGTAATGGGTAGCGCGCTCGCCTCGCAAGCAAGAGGTTCGATTCCCAGGCGCGGTCAAACCTTAGGAGAGTTTCTTTACTCCACACGCCTCTGTTTACCGAGCAGTCAGAGGTTAGTCGATTGGCAGATCACTTTCCGGGGTAACGATCCCTTCAAATAAATAAGTAAAATACTAATTTGATCACTCAATCCACGACTATTTGTGGAACACTGCTGTGTGCAATTGGCTGCTGTGTTTCGCTCCTAAAATACACAGCCAATTCACTTTACAATATATTATGTGAAGTGCTTTGAGACGTCTCAATGACGTGATAAGGTGCCATATCAAATGCAAATGTAAGTGCTTCGCAGGGCCGACTGGGAGCCTGAGCCGAGGGGGGTGGAACGGGGGGGAGATTTTGACCTGGTGATGTCACTTTAATGCTGCTTCTAATACTGCAAACTTAGTACTGCAATAAAACTACGGTATTTCTGTTATAATAATAGTAATCTTTGCATTGCGAAATGCGGCAGCCAATTACCCGCAACAGTGTCCCACAAACAGTTGTGGATTGAGTGATCAAATTATTATTATTATTATTTTTAAGGGATTATTACCCCCGAAAAAGCGATCCACCAATCGACTAACAACCGGATTCCTACTTACTGCTAGCTAAACAGAGGTGTGTGGAGAAAGGAAACTTGCCCAACGTTTCGCCCTGCTTGGGAATCAAACCCAGTCCTCTCGCTTGTGAGGCAAGTGCTCTAACCACTACACCACTGTTTAGCTTCTCTCTGCTTTGCTGACATGCTCTCCCTTGTGTTTCTCCAGTATATTGTGGAATGTCATGGGAACACGCTTCTCCCCCAGTTCCTGGGCATGTACCGGCTAACAGTTGATGGAGTGGAGACCTACATGACTGTCACGAGAAATGTATTCAGTCACAGACTCAATGTGCACAGGAAGTACGATCTGAAGGTAAATTACATGTGATTGAGAAAGGAACAGCTTATATTTTTGCATCTTATCATGTTGAAATGTCTCAAAGCATTTCACAGTTAATTACTGTCAAATGTAGCGCTGCATTTTTTTGGGAAGAAATCTAAATGCAGCAGTTATTTGCAACAGCAAGGTGCAGCAAACAAGCATGATGTGAATATCTAGCTAATCTGGAGGATTGTTGGCCAGGACACTGGGAGAAACTCCCTTCTCTTCTCAGTTTGTATCATGGGATTTCTACCCTGAAGCAAAGTTTTGCTTTTGACCTTTCTCTGCTGCTTGCCCAATTCTGTTACCCCTGGATTACGTCCCAATTCTGCTGGGCAAGGTAGCGTCCACCAGTCTATAGACAATCCACTGGAACCTTTGCAAAACAAGAGGACCAGATGGCATATTATGGATTTGGCGATTGAATTGTCTGAAAATGGACTAATGGGCTCCCCCGATGTACATCACCAAAGACTGAGTTCAGCTAGATCGCTACCCTTCTTTCCCTCTGACATTAACAAGCAGCAAGAGTTCCCACTGTCGGGCACTGGGGGGAGGAGGGGAGAGGCTTGGAATTACCAGCTTCACCCATCACAAAGCCAGAAACGCCTACTGGAGTAAGTGAGCGGATGACTTGGGGACACAGTCATCATCTCTGTTATCAGTAGAGTTCACTTCAGAAGACTCTTTTTCAAATAAATCTGAAGAAGAAAATGAGGAAGAGGAGGGTGAAGAAGATGAACTTCCCAGCATCATCCAGCAGGACAACAACAACATTTATATTGCGCCCCACGCCAGGGTAGGTCCCAGAGCAGAAGACATGCGAGTCTGGTGTAAATTCCACAAGTACCCTTATTGGCTTGAAGTGTGAAGCACAAGTACAAGCCGGCATATTGTTTGTAGATGAAAATATACTGGATGCAAAGGAAAAGAGTAGAAAAGGCATCTGCGTATCTGTCAGGACGTTAAAACCAATTGATTGTGTGAAGAGCGGCCTCAGTTAATGGCTGCAGGACGGGAGACTTACAAGGGTGCAGTTGATTGGAGCGTTGCTCTGATTGATGCCAATCGAATGGTTGAGAGAAAAGCTAATAGTTTTTTTTAAAAATGATCAAAGATTTTGATAACATAAATAGGAAGAAATGATTTTGACGGGTTGATGAGTCAGTCATTGGAACACAAGATTAAGGTAATTACTAGAGAAGGTTAGGAAAATTGTTTTGATAGGTGTAGGTACTGGTATCCATTTTGGCTTTCTAGAGGGAATTAGATAAATATCTGAAAAGGAGGAATAGGGTGTGAGAGAGAGAAGGAAGGAGAATGGAACAAAACGGATGGCTCTTTCAGAGAGCCAGTACTGGTGCAATCGGAAAAATGGCTTGTCTGCCTCCTATGCTGTAGACTTCTGTGGTTTTGTTGTTACATTTGTCTCTGAGTAAAAGGACACACCAAACAGCAGTGTGTGAGTTTTTTTTATCAGCTGGGTGTCTGGCACATGCAAACACCCATCACCATGCTTAAGTGTACCTAAACCAAGCTGAGATTTCCTTGCATCCAGATTGTTGGAATGGAATGCCTGGAGGGACGCCTACCTAATTCCTGCAAGTATTACAATTATTGAAAGTATTAAAGTCGGTGAGATAAAAGGTTACAGTGGCTAGAAACTCTGAAAACTCATATTTCCTGTTCAACGTTGGCACAAAAATGTGGATGTGATTCACATCTGTTAGTTTGATGACAGGAAGTGCTCAGAAGGAAACTGAATGAAATCTATTTCAGTGAAGTCAGATATTTTCATATTACATTGTGGAAGTCAGTTCCAAAGATGATTAAGCGTTCGAGACGCCATCCGGCGTGAAGGGCGCTTTATAAATACAAATTGTTGACTATTGAGGATATATTTTATTGGGAGTTCCAGGTACCTGCGAACTTAATCTTTCTACATCCTGACAACTTTTTACTCCCCGAATCTCGATCTTGAATTCACACCCTCTTCTCCTCGAATCTCCTATCAGCAGAAAGAGTTTCCCGCAATTAATTCTTTCGAACCCTCTCAGTGTCTTTAGCACTGTCCATCGCAACCAAAGCCATACTCGAGACTGCGCGACTGAGAGCCGTTTACAAACCATTCACTTGGCTGCATTTCTGAGGAGCAAATTATAAACAGCGGGAGTGAAAAAGTCAGTCAGCTGAACAGGAACTGAATGTTACTCCACTGAACTGAAACTGCACGCACTGAGTGTCTACAGGTGTCCATCCTATCCTGTTCAGAAATCTTCCAACTGTATCACATCTGTATCTAGATCAGTTTCCTGTCTCGCTTAATAAAGATGTAGATGGGTTATGAATGTTTTCAGGCTCCCTCAGTGCCCTAGTGGGTAAAGCCATCAGCTCTATAGCCAAACAAACAGGCAAGTTCCAGGTCTGAATCTTGGTCTGTGTCGAGTTAGCAGAAACGTGGTGTGAAGTAACAGTGACGATATTTATTTCTTGTTATTTGCTTCCTTTAGGGCTCAACAGTTTCGAGGGAAGCCAGTGGCAAGGAAAAGGTATAGTGATCTCTTCATTAAGACCTCATTTTATATATATACCCGAAGACTTTTCACCCACATTCTCTGTGTTATCTGACAAGTGTATCTGACTAACGAGGGCGCAGCCATTGATCTAGAAACTGCTTTGAGAGGATGTGGTTGGACCCTGTTGTACTACTCTTCAGTATACCGTGGGTCTGGGTATAACGTCAGTGTAATGGTACCCTTCCAGCTTGCAGAGCTCACCGCCCGGTTTCCTGCACTTAGTCATTTGGCCCCTTCAAGGCATGTCTCAAGCCCCTCCTTTTCGACCGCGCTTTCGGCCACCCTCCCTGCTTCACCCCCCTTCCCCCCCCCGATCCCGACTCCCAGCTCGGGTCCAAAACCCTGACTGTCCCATCCAGCGCCTTGGGACGTCTTCCCGACATGAAAGGCGCCATTCAAATTTAATTTTGTATTGTATGTCAGTATGAAAAGGCTCTGTGCTTTCATTGCTACTCCCAACCCCAGTAATCCTTTGGAGATCTCAACAGAAGGCATTGCTGAGGTCTCAAACACAGAGTACCTACCTCCCTTGCATTCCATAGTTGAAACATGGTGTTGAATTTGTTACACACTGATACAAATGTACGGATTTTGTTTGCTCACTGGCTCAGAAGTTTTTATCAGTATCTTACACAACCGGCCCACGAAGGTCACTTTTTCCTAATAGTCACCATTTCTTCAGAAATGTTGTTATCACATACTGCTAACGCTGTTAGGAATCCACTATTTACAATACTGTACAAATTTACATTCACGTGGCGCCTTTCACATCAGGAAGACGACCCAAGGCGCTTAACAATCCTGGCTTGGCACCCCAGGTGGGTTGGGAGCCAAGTGGGCGGGTGGGGGGAAGATGACCGGTAACTTGGACAAAGGACTAGGTCTTGAGGCAGATCACTGGCCAGAGCTCCTGAGTGGAAGCAGTCAGTGTTAGATGTCAGGTGAGGACAGGATCAGGCTTGGCATGGACACTCACTGTCAGGTCTGTCACATGAATAATGGTCACTTGGTCAAAATGCTTGTGTGCCTGTTGAAGTTTATAGCACGGAAAGAGGACACTCAGCCTATTGTTCCTATATTAGCTTTGAACAGAGACATTCTTCTACCTCTACACACACACACACGCACTTTTATATTTCTTTTCAGATATTTATGTAAATCCATTTTAAATGTTCAAACAGATTCTGCCTCAGTCACGCTCTAACCAGATAGGATGTTGCATGTTCTAACAAACCTTTGTTTAAAAACAAATTCTCCAAATCCTGGCATCAGTTGCACCACACCCTAGTACAAGTCAGCAGACAAAATGCTGACCCGCAAAATAGTGAATAAGACACAACACAAGTGAATAAAACTCAAGAGACTGGCCACACATGAAACTAGTGAAAATACAGTCGATTCACTTTACAATCTATTCTGTGAAGCACTTTGAGATGTTTAGATGACGTGACAAGGATTATTATTATTATAGTGCTCGATATCAAACCTGATCTGTAACATTTTTTTAAAAAGACTCTTTTTTGCAGTTGAAAACCTCGATTAAAAGGCGAGTGTGGGTGCGGGGGGATATAATTAAAAATAAGCGTTGATTTTATCGGTCAAAAAATATCGATTCTTTGCAACAACCTTACTTGCCAACTGCTTCTTGTTAATCGCCCTTTTCATGGCTGCAGGTTAACCTTAAGGCATGGGTATGGATTGTAGTATCTTCCCTTTGCCAGAATTGATATGCTGTGTGCTATCTCTCTGATCACCTGCATCAAATCTTTTATTTGCATTACAGGCCAAAGAGCTACCGACACTCAAGGACAATGACTTTCTGAACGAAGGCCAGCGGATTCAAATAGGAGACGAAAATAAGAAGATGTTTCTTGACAAACTGAAGCGAGACGTTGAGGTAATTGTTTTATTATTGTAAGAACATAAGAATTTGCTAGGGGAAAGAAGACCCAAGTTCCACCTTGTTCACCTTCCAACCTCCTGGTGGTCACTTCACATGTCGTGTTCCAAACTGTATGCCGTATCCTGAGATATTATTTTCCAGCAGAAATCTATCTCATTTGTTCTCGAACCAAATGACATTTTCTACTTCCATGGTCTCCCTAGGGAGCCTGTTTCATAAGTTTACTACTCGCTCACTGAATTAATGTTTTCCCAGATTTGTTCTGAATCGTAGGCCGTGTCCTCTGGCTCCACTGTTCAGTACAAGTTATAAAACAGCTTATTGTGGTCAACATTATCTATTCCCTTCAGAATCTTAAAGACTGCAATCATATCACCTCTCAACCTTCTCTTCTCCAGTGTGAACTAATCTAATCAGTTTATCTAATCGCTCCTCTTAGTCCAGTCCCTCCATCCCCTCAATCATTTTGGTTGCCTTCCTCTGTATCCACTCAATCCCTGCAATATCCTTTTTATATTGCGCTGACCAGAACTGCGCACAGTATTCCATGCAGTTGCACCATTTCTAAAGTGGCAGGATTACCCCATTATTTCGGCTCAATATTGCCCTTTTAATACAGCCGAGCATCTGGTTTGCCTTACTCACTGCTGTACATAGTGCTTTCACTCGTAGAGAAGCTGAGCATTTGCATGAAAAAAAATGGACCTTTCATGACCATCCTTATTTATCCTTACATTTGATATTCCGGCTTGCGTATCAGGAGTTTGTCTCAAAATGCTTCATAGGATTTAGTAGTGACTATAGGTGAACACCACAGCCAATTTGTGCACAGCAATTGCATATTTAAATTATTAAAGAGCCATGAAGTAAGTGATTGATTTTATCTGGGGAATTGTCAGCCAGGATACTGGGAGAGAGAAATTCACTTCTCTTTTCGAATAATGAAATGTTGATTCCTTTAAACAAAATGTTGATTCATTTAAACACAGATTAGATTAGGCTGAAGGCAAACTAGATGGACCTTGGTCTTTTTTTCGTCTAGCATTTTTTATGTTCTTATGTAGTGCATGCTTGTGTGTTTAGGTCTGACTTAAATTGTTTGAATATTTTACAGTTTTTGGCACAGATGAAGATCATGGATTACAGCCTGTTAGTTGGAATTCACGACGTAGACCGTGCCGAGCAGGAAGAGATGGAGGTGGAGGAGAAAGGTGACGATGAGGAGTCTGAGAATGATGGGATGGGAGCCCTGGTCGGTTCTTACGGAACTCCCCCAGACAGCCCTGGGAACATGCTGAATTTTCCTCGAATCTTCGGACCAGGAGAGTTTGACCCAACAGTTGATGTGTACGCCATAAAGAGTTATGACTGTAAGGATTGTCTTCTAATACTACAGTGTTTAAGACACTTTGTTTAAGGATATTTCTATTCACATTGTTTATGGGTGTACAGTCTTGGCTGAGAGGCAGATAGGGTCCCTTTGTATATTAATAATAATGCTTCACTTGATACAAACATCTAAGGGCTTCCCACAGAATTCTGTAAAATGTAGTGACTGTATTTATGGACAAACACAGCAACCAGTTTGCACAAGAGCAAGGTCCCACAAACCACCATGGAACAAGTGACCAATTTTATTTGGGGGATTGTTGGCCCGGACATGGGAAAGAGAAACTCTCATCTGTTTTCGAATAGTGCCATGGATCTTTAACGCTCACCTTTACAGTCAGTCGGGGCTTCGGTTTAATGTTTTAACCAAAGAATGGCATCTCCAACACTGCAGTACACTCCCAGTGTCAGCCTAGACTATATGAGTTTTAAGTCCCAATGTGGGGCATGAATCCAAAACCTTTTGACTTGGAAGGGAGAGGAAAACTTTAGCTGTTAGGTTGTGGATATTTTAAATTACGAAAGGTGGCTTTAATCAAGAATGAGGTTCGAGTGCGTGAGTTGCTCATTTTAAATTATTTAGTACTTCACACTTTTGGAATGTCGCACGCCATCAGAGTCGGGTGTAAGTGTTAATTGCGTCTTATTACTTCCAGTTGTCCATTTATTTCTCATTCATTTCAACACATATTTGTTGCGTTTGGCAAAGAAAATAAGTTGCACCATCAAAACTAATGGAAAGTGCCCTATTTTCCACTATAGTGTGGTGTCCCGTAGCGTAGTGGTTAGCGCGCTCTCCTGGCAAGCGAGAGGACTCGTGTTTGATTCTCAGCTGGGCCAAAACCTTAGGCAAGTTTCCGAACTCCAAATGGCTCTGTTTACGTAGCAATAAGTAGGAACACGGTTGTTAGTCGATTGGAGGATCGTTTTCCTCCAAAGAAAATTGGGTCACTCAATCCATTACTGTTTGTGGAACGCCGCTGTGCGCAATTGACTGCTGCGTTTCTCCCACAAATACACAGTCGATTCGCTTTACAATATATTGTGTGAAGTGCTTTGAGACAGCTCAACGACATGATAAGGGGCTATATCAAATCCAAGGATTATTATTATTATAACAGTGGCAGTCACTATGGGACATCGGCAGTGACACAAGACCGAGTTGTTTGATGTTTAGTACTACAGACACGTCAATGAGCAATGTGGAATACCTCTCGTTGGAGAGTTTACTGCTCTACGTGCAGCTTAATCCCTCACATGTTAATACTCAATTTCAGCTTTCAGATACTGGCACCAAATGTGTAAGTTTCTGTTAATTTAATAAAATTGCCAAAATATACAGAACAATGTTAAATTTTTTTATCCGATTTTTTTTAAAAAAAAGCAGATCTCCAAATGAGTAGGACAACTTTTGTTTGACTGGACTTCCCGCCATCTTTCCTCTTCCCATTCCCCCCTCGGCTCCCACCCCAAGCTCTGGTACCAAACCACATCCGTTAAGCCCCTTGGACGTCTCCACTCATGTCATGTGTAAGCCTTGACAACAGGTGTTTGGCAGGGGATTTGTCTGTGCTGGGGATGGTCAACGTTGATCTATCCTGAATCTGCGCTTCCCCCCCCCACCACACACACACCCACAAATTACAATACATACAATGTACATACATACACAAACACAATGCACACACTCGCGCTTCACAGTATTTGTAGGCAAATGTAGCAGCGTATTTGAGCACGTCCCAAGGCGCTGGACAGTCAGGGATTTGGACCTGAGCCGGTGGGAGGTGGGGGTGTTGGGATAGGGAGGGTAGATGGTGGATGCACAGGTACAACACTTGACAGGAATTTCCTGTGAAGTTTTTGAGGTCTTTTAACATATAAGTGATGTATCAAATCAAGCATTATTATTGTGTTGTGGTGTACGGGTTGGACTCTTTTGTACTGCCTCATAGAGAGTGATACTGTGTCCTGTGCGGTGATGATGTAAGATCTGATAGCTGTTTAATGAACGTAGCATGTATTTAATTGGGAATATTAAATTAGGTTGTATGGGAGTTAATGTTCTGAAAGATTTCTAATGAGATATAACGTGTAAAATGGTGCAAGAAAAAATACCTCATAATTAGCTGTGTGTTTCCTGGAGTATGAAAACTGAAAGCTTTATAATGAGAGTGAGGAGCAACCCAGGTGTGTTTATATTTTACACGCCTGCCTTCTCTAGTTCTCTCCTCGACAAGTCAGTGATTAGGTCATTGGGATTTCATTGTGAATTCTGGTTGTCTAGACAGTGCGCTAGAACATTACATTACGTGACGTGTTGGTTGCTCCTCTCCCATTGTCCACTAGAAAACAATAACTTTGTTGTTTGTGGGATTTTGCTGTGCGCAGATTGGCTGTCTCATTCACCTACAAAATACCCAGTCGATACAGTTTACGGTGTATCCTGGGAAGACGCTTTGAGACCTTCTCTTGACGTGAAAGGCGCTGTATCAAATTGCATGGAATGTTATATAGCTGTTCACTTAGGATGCCCGTTTCGGTGTGCTTTGGGGGAAGGCCGGGGAGGGGGATGTTGAGGGTGTCAACGTGGTAATTAGCAGCGCTTTGAAGGCAGGAGTAGAAGGCAAACAGGTGATACTGCCTGTAACACTGTAACGGCAACAACAACTTGCATTTATATAGTACCCTTCATGCCGTCTGGCATGATGGGCGTTATATGAATGCAAGTTGTTGTTGCTGCTGTAACTGTAGAGAGAAACTCTTGCTCTGCTGTGTTATCTAACCTCTTTGTTACTCTTGTCAGTAACTCTGCCGAATTTGACAGATGCTCCAAAGAAGGAAGTTTACTTCATGGCAATAATCGATATTCTAACTCACTACGATGCAAAGAAAAAGGCTGCGCATGCAGCCAAGACTGTCAAACACGGGGTGAGTACACAGAACTGCTGATAGCGACTTCATCTCTCAGAGCTGAGGGTCTGCTCTTGGGAGGGTGGATGCGTGGGGAGAGACAGAGTCCTCAGCTCTGAGAGGCAATACAGTTTCCTCCACACTGGCTCATTTTTTCAGTCTCGGCTGCACTCTTTCACTTTCTGCCTCTTGTTTCACAATAGCAACAAATTACATTTGTACAGCCACAGCAACTTTCACGTCAGGAGGACGTCCTGAGCTGGTGGTTGGGATCAGAAGGGATGGAGGGTAAGGGTAGGAGGGTTTTAAAGGAGGCACCTTCTCTCTGCTGCTTTGGAAGGAAGGAATGAACGAAGGAAGTGTTGAAGGAAATGTTGATTCTTTCGTATACAGATTAGATAGTTTGCTTTTTGGAAATAACATTATGGGATGTAATACATAGGTAGTTCAGGACATGTGTGCCCTTACTTTGAAATAATAATCCTTGCATTTGATAAAGTATCTTATCGTATCTTTGAGACGCCTCAAAGCACTTCACAGATTAAATTGTAAAGTGGATTGACTGAATATTTTGTGGGCGAAACACCCAAACTACTATATGTGACCTCCTGCCCTGTCTGCTCCACAACTCCAGCATGAAGGTTGCTCATCATATACTGCAGAGTGTAGAACAATGGCCAATATAATTGCTGGCATTTTTCATTTCACTTCTTGTGTGTGGGATTTGCAGTTTGGAATCTAGATATCACTATGAGATTCCACTGTTGCCATCTCTACCGTGCAATTTCCAAAAATAACTGTGTGCGACACTTTGGAACCCAATGTGAGGAGGCAGAAGAGAAGGCAGGTTAGCTCCTGAGGGTGTAATGATCATATCAGTGAGAGGATTATTTTTGTTAAGATAAAAAACCTTCCTTTGTTTTATAACTAATGTAATAATCTACCATGATTCATTTGAGTCGGAGAGAGGATTTTTTTTGATCAGCTGGGTGTCTGACACATGTGGAAACCCATCACCCTGTTTAACGAGTATCTAGACTGAGTTCCCCACACGTAGGCTGACTACAAATGGAAAATTCTCTGTGTCTGGAATGGAATACGCACTCTTGTCTCTCCCTGGAGGGACGCCCCCTGCTTACCCGGAGAGAATTAGGCCGTGGTTTGACGAGAGCCATATTTTTGGAGGATAGTGGAGATAAGATTGAGTGAAGAAATGCTTTCGATGGCGCCACCGAATAATTTGGCCAATCTATTTCAGTCAGAGACTTGCCTTGAAATTTAGTGGTTGTGTCCACTTCACAAACGCCTTTCAAATGGAATCGGATAAATATTTGATGAAAGTAATAATTATACTTCCATTTGATGTCACGCCTCATCAAATCATTGAAACGTCTCAAAGTGCTTCACAGGATTTAGGCGAATACAGCTGCCAGTTTGAGCAACAGTGACGTCCCACAAACACAAACAGCCATGTGATCAATTTTAACTGGGAGATTGTCAGCCAGGTCAGTCTCCCAAGTCCTTTCGATTAATGCCACTGATCCTTAGTGTCTATCTGAACAGGCACAGATCTGACACGGTTTAACATGTCATCTGTCGGACCGCTCCTCTGATAACAAGCAATCCTCCAGCACCGTGCTAACAGTCACCTCCTCCCTACCCTTAGCTTGGCTCCCCCGCTGTTAAGCGCTTTGAGATGCCGCCTGACGCGAAGGGTGCTATATAAACGCAAGTTGTTGTTGTTGCACTGAAGCGTCGGCCTAGGCAGCTAGCTTTTAAAGAGCGGGAAAGTGGGGTTAGAGGGTGTTATTGCAGCAAGAGAAAGATTACAAGCGCAGATACGACTGGGCCGAATGGCCTCTTCTTGCACTGTCAATAACAACAACAAACTACATTTGTATAGTGTCTATGATGTCGGGAGGACATCCCAAGGCGCTGGACGGTCAGGGATTTGGACCCGAGCAGGGGTTTGGGATCAGAGAGGGTAGGGAGGGGTAGGAGAGTGACCGAAGGTGTGGTCGAAGTGGAGGGTCTTGAGACAGGCCTCGAAGGAGGCGAGGGAGGGAGCGATGCAAAGGGAATGTGGGATGGAGCGCCAAAGGATGGGGGCAGAGAGGCTGAATTAAACATTTCACCATCTTCCTTATTTGACCTCAGTTCTAACTCTGCTCAAACAGCAGATTCTGAGCAAAGGAACAAGCTGGACTCAAAAGATCCTTAAGGGACAAGAAAATTCAATACTACTACTAATCTGCAATGGCATCATGACCCATTAATGCTCTGCTGTTTTGCATTACCCAGACAAGGCTCTGGAAAATGAAGGCAAGACACTTCAGTGGTATGTTAGCAATATTTTTCTAGCAGTTTTTTGTAAAAAAAACACAAAATTTAGGAGATGTGGGAGTGGAAGCAAGATTCATTGCTTCCTGATTCAACTTTAAAAAAATGCCAGGCTATTTGCCGGTTGAAAAGTTGAATATATAAATACTTTTTTTTTCAAGAGAATAAAAGATCAGGTCAGATGGGCGGACATTTCAGTGTTTTTCTTCCCCCCCCCCCCCCCTCAAAAAAATCTGGGAGGGAATCTGTTTATTTATTCAAAGACCAGGATGGTTGATAAAAGAATGCTGACCTATTTAAATCCTCCTCGGCTTAGGGAGTGCAAAGGGCAATTTCAGGACATACACAGGAAGATTCTTTACCCAGAGGATAATTGCCTATTCAGCTGGACATTCAACAACAGCAACAAGTTGCATTTATATAGCGCCCTTCACCCGGGGTAGCTTCCCTGCAGGATATATTAAATATCCCGCAGGGAAAAGAGGAGGGAGTTTATCCCAGTGTGTGTCCTGGCTGAGAATCCTCCAGATAAAATCGCTTCACAGCTGCTTCATAGCTGTTCAGCCTCTATGTCTTGAAGCTTTGGAACTCTCTCTCCCAATCCTGCAGCTTGCCCCCTCCTTGTTTCCCTTGTTGGAGATCACGACATGTTTGCCGAATTTGAAGTTGAATCACAAACTCCAGCAGGAGGCCATTCAGCCCAAGCTGCACTGTGCTGCCTTTCTGAAAGAGAATCCCACTCGTCAGCCCTTCCTCCCCTCTGTCATGTTTTGACTGTTTTAGCATTGACAGTATTTCCATTGCTGGTACTGTAGAGAGGCAATGGGCTCGAGAGTTTCTGAACGCAGTGAAGTGCCAGTAATTCCCAATAACCTGTGGTTGTTTTGTGCTTTGCAGGCTGGTGCTGAGATCTCCACTGTTAATCCTGAACAATACTCGAAGCGTTTTTTAGAATTCATGATGAATATCATAACATAGTGCCCATGCAGCACCCACCCACCCACCTACCCTCGCACACCCACTCACTACAGACACGCTCGCTCACTATATTCACACACTCCTATGCACTCGCACCTGCACACACTCACGCACACCCGCCCACATGAGAGACTACCGATGAGTAGCGGATGCAGCAACGTGGGAATTTAAGCCAAAACACTGTCTGTCCATGGTGGCCGCAGTATTTAGACCTGCAGAGACCGATCTCAAAATTGCATCTTCGGCAACGAAACCAAGAAAAAGGAGAGAAGGGGGAAAAAAAGACTCGCGTCAAATCTGCTCTGCCTCAGTCGTTGTTTTGTACCATTTTTGAAGATTCCCAGCCACGCTTTTTACCCGAGCTTGCCTTTCCCGCGGGAGTAGCTTCACACAGCACTTGATCTCATCCCAGCAAGGCGCTCGGCAAAATGTTACTAACGGGGGGAGTGGGGGTGGGGGGTTGGCCGAGGGGTGTCTCACACTCAGTACAGTGTGAGACAACTTTGATGGTTGGAAGCCACCACCTATCTCTCTTTGTTTCAAGAATGTATTATCCGAACAGCAAATTGTGTGTGTGTATGTGCATGTGTGTGTGCATGTGTGTGTTTGCGTGTATGTGTGTGCTTGCGTACGTGTACACGTGTGTGTGTGTGTGTGTATGTCGGCCAAGCTGCACTCGCCCCAAACCCTGGCATCGCCTCGCTGGTTTCTCAAGTTTTTCAAGTTGCCATATTGTCCCATTATGAGAGAGAGAGAGAGGAGGGGGAGAAGAGTAAATCACCAACTTTCTCAACAAACCAGCCGAACAAGGCAAACTAAAAAAAGATAGATAGATAGATAGATAGATAGATAGATAGATAGATAGATAGATAGATAGATAGATAGATAGATAGATAGATAGATAGATAGATAGATAGATAGATAGATAGATAGATAGATAGATAGATAGATAGATAGATAGATAGATAGATAGATAGATAGATAGATAGATAGATAGATAGATAGATAGATAGATAGATATGAAAGCTATTATATATGGGGGAAAATGTTTACTTTAAAACAAAGAGCATTTACAGTGGGAAACTGCATACTCAAACGGCTGGCGTTAACAGTATTTCTTATGCCGCTCTCTTACCGTCCACCGTGCAGTGGGTTTGATAACCGGCCAGTTTGAATAAGCGGAATCCTACTCTTATTATAAGTTTACTTTTTTTAAAAAAAATATATACGGCTTGATGACGGGGGAGCGAGGGAAAGCCATTTATATTACGTGTCAGATTCTCGGCATTTTGGGTTGCTGTCGTGCTCTAAAGCTAATCTCTTTGGACACAGTGTCATTGAATCTTGTTAGGTCAATCGAAAGGAGAATGGCGACTTTTATTTTGGAGAGGGAGCTACCTGATGAGGGAGTGCGTTAGCTCTTTGAAGTTTTTGGATGGACAATGCTGTTTTGCTGCCGCACTCCTGTGTCAATACAATTTACTCTCAGGCACAGCCTTCAGCGCTGGGAGGATGTCTCGAAGCGTTTTAAGTACTGCTGTCGGAAGAGCTGGGAGTGAGAGGGAGGGAAAGGGAATCACGTTCAACTGGGAGAGAGAGAGAATCATGTTATCTTTAGCTAAACATTCTGTTACAATGACCAGTTGGGGCTCACCTTCCTCCCCCGCCTATGCTGGCAAGGCTGCGGCTTCGTAAGGAGCATTTTGTGATCGTTTTTTTTTTAACCCTCAAATGCATTTTTAAAAAATCATGTTGCAGGCCCACTGACGGTGAACCACTTTAGTATTTTTAAAATAAATCAGTGAATTCTGGCTGTTTAAAAAAAAAACCTCCGTACCAGGAGTGCGTCGGCAGCAATCGGTAGATTTGAAGCGTGAAACTCGTATAGCGTGCAGATAGCAGAGAAACAATTCATTGGCACTTTAACCCTTTTAATAACAGAATTTCATATATGTGTTAACTATGTATAGCAACATTTCTTTTTGGCGGGGGGGGGGGGGTGCGGGGAGTGTTGGGAGAATCCTCAAGCTGTGTGTGGTGCCTCGTTGGTTTGATGTGTTGGGTGTATCGATTAGCTCTATGTATCAATACATCCATCCAATGGATATTGATGTCCAAAACCAGTTTAAAGGGATTATGTGCACATTAATGATTCACCCCCTGTTATTTTCTATGATTTTTAAAATATATATATATATATACACTGTATATATATTGTTACCTTCACTAAAAGACGACAACCATCCTGTTACAATGGTTGGGCGGTTTATAAGTGAAAACAATTGAATTACAATGAAAGAAGTGCTGAATAATGTTGCTCGCACATTCTCTGACATCCTATTTTTTTTCCCCTCCAGAATATGTACAATACATTACACTGTGTGTATGTAGGTGTGTGTGTGCGTGTGTATATACATATATGCACACACACATACACTCACTCACTCACTGTGTGTGTGTATATTATATGTGTGTGTGTATATAGATTCTAGTTCACTTTGCATTTACTTGAGATGTAAAAGGGATATAAAAAGGAACCTTAAAATGTCTGTCTACATTTGGATGCTTGTGGACGGGAATGTTTCTTATCCGAGGATGAAATTCCCGTGTAGTTCCATTTTAAAGATTCAAGGCATAACTGTAAAAACGGGGTTGAGTTTCTCACCCACGAGTGCAATGTTTTTCCAAGCTTGTGAATCCTAGTTGTCCAAGTTCAATCCAGCCCATGTTTATCTCTCCATTATACAAGGTCACTTTTTGTTATGAATTAGGTGTGTGTTTTCAGGTAGGAAGTGTTATTACCACTGGCTTTTCATGGCCTTAGGCAGGAGCACAACATTGCAGCAGGCGCCCAATGTGAGCAAAGCAACAAAGTGCTACTTTTGACCACACCTTCCCACCGTTTTAAAATCTTTACCTACTTCTACATGGCTGGAGATTTGTGATACCAACTTGCATTTTGCACATCACCCTTCACCTCGGATAGAGTCTCGGAGCGCTTAATAGTGGCAGAGTCGGATGCCAAGCAAGGAAGAAGGGGGATGTGACCTAAAAGGGGTGGCCAAAAAGGTAGGTTTTCAGATGGTATTGGAAGATGGATAAAGAGGTTATGAGGCACAGGGATAGAGGGAAGGAGTTCCAGAGGTTGAGGGCAGTGGTTGAAGTCAAGCTGAGACTCCAGCCATCTTGATTTGCCAGCTGGGGGGGTTTTGGGGAGGAATGGTGGGGTGGAAAGATTGGCTCTGCCTCAGGAAGTCTTAATATTTCTCGTCTTTCTCTGATTTTATTCAGGTTTTAAAATTCCCAGAAACTCAGCCCAAGACAGAAAGAGAGAGAATATTCTCCCAAATCTCTTACTGTCATGACCTGAAAGATACAGACAGTGGAAACTTGATATTTTCTAGTGGTTATGATCTTTTATTGCGTGTGCCATCCCTCCACCCCTGTTCATCCATTCCCAACCCCCAAAAATGTCCCTCGATATTGTCATTTGGATTCTGGTGCAAAAAGCCTGATTTAAATGGACTGAGGTCTAAACTGTTACAGGATGACTTTTTATAATGGAAACATCCAGCCAAGGATAAGATTTCTCAACAAACTAATAATGGATTTATGAAGATTCAATTGTAATGATTTGTAATTCTGTGTTGGAAGACATGGCAAGGCAGTGTCTTAAACTCGCTGCACAACAATGCAGAAGCTTGCAAAATAAAAACCTTTTGTAAAAATGCACTAGTTGAAATGGGTGATTAACTCGTTTTGTATCAAGATTGGTGGTTTTCACAGGGTTTTTTAGTGGCGTACTCTTGTAGATTTGATTTATTCTGTTGCTAAATGCATTGATCCGACAAGGCTTCTGATGTTTTCTATTCGATTTCCCTCCCTCGGTGATTCTTACTTACATGTCAGCTTGGTTCAGTCGGTAGCACTCTTGCCTCTGAAGGTCAGTGGAAGGTTGTGGGTTTGAGCCCCCAACGCCAGGACTTGGAACCCCTGAGGTGCCATCATTTGGGTAAGGTATTAAACTGAGCTCTTGTCTGCCTGATCAGGCGAGCGTTAAACAGATCCCGTGACAAACTAACCTTGAGATAAAATTGGTCATTCACCTTAAAGGTCATTTGTGGGGCTCAGCTGTGTGCAAAATGGCTCATGTACTGCGCTTGCATACTAAAACCATAACTATACCTAACAGTAATTACTTGTGGCACTCTTCACATGATTTGAGGCTTTAAGTGCCGGGCATGGAAATCAGAAATGTACTTCACCCTGTCCTCATATAATGCTTGCACACACAGATTGTAGGAATTCCCTTTTTTATATGCAGTTTATTACTATTGTATGAAATGAATGTATGTGTTAGTCTCGTGGAGTGCTCTGACTGAATTTCTCCACTTTTCAACTCCATTGAAATGTGGCTACCCTCACCCTGTCTGAGATCAGTTAGTAACTGTAATTCAGGACAAACTGAACCTGGGACCCTCCTGAGCTGCATTGGTTCAGCATTGAATCAGATAGTCGTCTCCTGCACTCTGCTGTCCATTAATGGCACTTTGGGGGAATAAAATGATAAATGTTTCCCCTTTTAGGTATCTTTCTCATGTGCACGTAATGTATACCACTGTAGCATTTCTAAGAACACGTTAAATTATGATATCCTTCTGACAAATTATTTTCCAGCATGTGCTAATCTTGGACAAAACCACATTGTCACCTGTGTAGATCGCACTGAAGGGACTCTACACAGGTGACTTAATGGAGGCAGTCAGAATGCAGTTTCAAATGCACAGGGATCCAACCCCCTGGGAGGTTAAATTGGCAATCAAACTCAAACAGGATGGCTGTTGTGGTTCATTGAAAATGTCACCCTGTTGCAATGGGGCACATTATTTGGCCAGAATAGGGTGAGTTTTTTCTCTGCATCTTAACTCTGCGAGACTGATGTGGGAGTGTTTGAATCGCTGCAATTACTTTTACGGTAATTGAGGGTCGAATGTCCAGTTAGTTTGTGTCACTGATGTTATCTGACTTCAGAGGTTTTCACTTGAGCCGAGGAAGCTAAGGGGTTGTGACCCAATAGAAACCTTCACAATTATGATAAGGTAAATATAATAATTGATTATTTACAAGGTTAAAGTTGTTGAGTAGTGGGAATATGGGACTCTCTGCTGTAAATTGTAGTTGAGGCAATTCACAAATTATTTAAACAATTGGATGTACTGTACTTTGGGGGAAAATATTAAAGGGTATGGGAGCAAGGGAGAATGGGATTAATAATACTATTAGATTAATCTTTGTATTTAACACAGCACTTATAATGTTAAAAGATCTCAAAGGACTCTACTGGTATTTGCTATCTCCTCCAAGGACAGGCAGTTTGCATACAACGACGTCCCACAAACAGCCAAGAAGTGAATGACCGATTTTATCTGGAGGATTGTTGACTTAAGTGGAGCTGAAAAAAAAATGCGCAGACTTGATATATTAATCCTTGTATTAGATATACCGCCTTATCATTTCGTTGATAAGTCTCTTAGCGCTTAAACGGTCACTTTGGGTGCTGTAACATTCAATGATTAAATTGATCTCCACTGTAAGTAAAACCAAATGGTGCAAAAGGAATGTTTTGAGTTCCTCTAGCCCCGATGCTGCACAGTTCATACCGCTGAGACGTCAAGTGAGAAGAGTTGACATGAATCCCAAATGTCCTTTTGACTTTGCGCCTTGTTCTGCCAGACTGTGAGCTCAAATGTCCCAAGGTGGGACCTGTGTACGAACCCACAACCTTCTGACAATCTATATTCGGGAGTGGAATTCCTGCCGTGGAATGAAATGGATTTCCGGTTTTGGAGGAAGGTTTGATTACCAAATTCATGTTACATATGAGCTCAGATGATTGGGAGTGTGTTGCTGTGCCCAAATTGGACAGGCAGTTTGTTTTTTGAACTGCTGTAAATAATGGCCAAGAGAACATTGAAGGTTCTCAGGATCCATTGTACAGCAACACAGCTTCCTGGTTCAACTTTCCGCCTGTTTTACTCGTCCTTGAAATGTCACTGACGCCGAACGTGGAAAAATTATGTTTTTGTTTTAAAAATAAGTGGATTTTATTGGTGTGTTTGTATTGTAATATAGTTGGAATTATGCATTTGATATCTGTTCTGGGCTGCACTGATCAGCTCTTTACAATTGCTTAGTGCAAGAATGAGCAGTCAACGGGAGATTAAATTTACATTGGGCATTTACAAACCCAAAGAGACCAGTTCTTCCATGTGGACACTGTGTCATCTATAACCTGTTTATACTCATTATGGAGGCTACAATACTGTACTGGACTTCACAATTAGTACATGTAATTGTATTTGTCACTAATTATAAATATGTATTTAATATTTGGAATTGCTATACCTGATCGTGCCAGCGACTAGTTATTTTCAACCTCGAGCTGAGAGACTGAAGTAACAATGAAGCTGGAATGTGCCTCTGACTCATTTTTGTACAGTGAAAAAATAGCCTCATATAGGCCACCTCTTGTTAATGACCGGTGGTCAATGAGTCCATTTAACATGTCAAAGGCTTGTACTTGAACTCATGCTCTTGCTGGTATATGTTCACTGCCAGTGCTCACACGCTTGTTCCATTGAGATCTTGCTGCAGGTGACCTCAGTGCTAAAGGTCACCACCTTCAGATCCAATTTTTGTTCTATTAAAATAAAAACTACATTATAACTGTCTGCATATTTATTGTTCTTGCGCCAGAGAGACAATACAATGAAAGAACATTTGTGTGACCAGGAGGTTTCTCAAAGTTCAAAAGAAAGACACGTTTCAAAGACTGAGCACAACGCAATAAAAATACCAGGTTTCTACTTTGCTCCTTTTCTCCTTCCGCTATGGATTCAGTTCCAGGATAACTGGCTTTCACATTTATACAGTGGAATAATTAAACGCTCAGCCGATTCCATCGTCCACTCAGGCAAGATACTCTCCTTACGTGAAGGTTATGTGAACTCCCACGCTCCACTATACCTGTCTTGGAGTATCTATGCTAACGGTCCATTGCAGCCATTTTACTTTGCTTAAAATTCTACATTTGTTTTATGACGAACAAGACAGTCATTGAACACATACCAGAACAGGAAACCTATTCCAATGAGAATAGATTTATTTGTATACAATTTTTTTTAAAAAAAGTTATATCGCAGAATACAATGGAGATTGCTGGAGCGTTTCAATCCATACGAGCCTTTAGTGTTCTGGTGGTGATCTTGTCTTTCTCACTGCGAAAAAAAAAGGCACAAGAACAATGAGACGAAAGCTTCTACTATTTCCATTAAAATAGAATAAAATAATTTGATACAGCGCCTTATCACGTCTGAGTTGTCTCGAAGTGTTACAGAACGTTTTGTGCGCGAAACGTGGAAGCCAATGATGTGGGGGAGTAAGGAAACCTGTCCATGGTTTCAACTGGCAGGAAATCGAACCCAGGTCCCCTCACTTGTAAGGCGAATGCACTAACCACAACACTATGGGACTCCACAGAGAGAGTCCAAATATCATCCATTTAAGAAAACTCTCCTTTAGAACTAAAAGAAGCACTTTCTGTACAGACATGTTAAATGTTGCAAGATTCCTCCCCAACAGCAGGTCCACCCAAACTTACATCACGTGTACGATGACACCCATACCAGATATAGCATCGCGATCCACTGCGTTCAACATGGCTTGTGAAATAGTTTCAAACAGATCTTCTGATTCCTGAAATAGAAAAAAAAATTGAAACTCGACTTGAAATCAAAAACTTTTGAACAACTTTTTCCAGTACAACGAGGATGCAGATAAGACTGCAAGGAATGTGATCATGTTTGACCATAAAAGGATTGATAAAGGGGGATGGGTGATAGGGAGAAATGGAATTTCAGGATGGGCATGCGATTGGTTTACAGCAACAACTTACGTATTGCTCCTTTTATAAGAACATAAGAATTAGGAGCAGGAGTAGGCCATTCGGCCCCTCTAGTCTGTCCCACCATTCAATAAGATCATGGCTGATCTATTCTAACTCCACCTACCCTCATTCCGGGAGGACATCCCAAGGCACTGGACAGTCAAAGACTTGCATCCAAGCTGGGGTTTGGGATCAGGAGGGGTTAGGATCAGGAAGAGTGGAGGACGAGGAGGGTGACTGAAGGTGCAGTCGAACAGGAACGTCTTGAGACGGGCCTTGAAAGTGGTAAGAGAGAGGACGTGGCAAAGGGACTGGGATTGAGTTCGAAAGAGTGCAGGCAGAAAGGTTGAAGGCCCGACCGCCAATGGTGGGGCGGGGGATGTGGATAAGCCAGTTCCTTTGATGCCTTTCAGACACTGAAGCACCTCAATCCAGGTTGGAATAGATGGAGCCTTACTCTACTTCTAACCTATATAAGCTTCTCCCAGTGTCCTGACCAACAATCCCCCAGATAAAAATTGGCTGCTGTGCTCACCTAAAAATACAGCGATTAAACTTTACAATAAACCCGTGTAATGCTTTGAGATGTTTCGAAGCCGCAATCAGACACTATATCAAATGCAAGGATTATCATAAAGCAATACAGGTTATACTTGTATAGTGCCTTTCTTGTCCATCCAAAGTGCTTAATTCCAGTTGGCACCAAAGACAAAGATGACTGAAAGCTATTCAATACCAGACTATATATTGCTAGATTTCATATGTACACATGTGCAAATCTCCTTAGGCAGTAGTTCTCGCTGCGATTACTGAAAGAACACAGAGTGCTGGCTGCTCCAATGTTTGTCACGGACATCAAGATTGGCACAGTCAATGAATTAAGACAAGTACATTGATGTTGTGGTAACAGCTCACATGGGAATCTGTGGTTGATTCAGTATTGTATCTGGCAACTCAAGAGAGAGAGCGCAATTCAATTTGTCACAAACTCAGTTCTGACCACAATTCCAGTGCAACGCTTTAGGCTTCGTGCCTGCGAGCTCTGGCTTTCCAGCAGCTACTTCGTCACAACAGAAGTAACGAGAGAACAGTTTTGCAGGAGTATTCTAAATCAAAGACCATAAAATTGTTTAATCTGTTTGGTACATACCAAACCAGGGAAGGATCTGGAAGTGGGGGAGGCGGGCGGGGGGTGTACACAGTGTGGGGCAACAACGATTTGTTTTTTACAGTGCAGAGCTAGAGAAATACAGTGTATGTCACAGGACGCAATATTGGGGGGGAGGGGGGGATTACAAAGCATTTCCACAGCCCCATTTGTTACTGTTCTGTAGTTTGCTCGAACAACTTAGTGTTGGGGAAGGAATAACGAAGAGCAAGTCCACGGGACCAGATGTCTGAGGGATGAGGAAAGCGCAGAGGCTGGGAATGTTACATTGGAGAAGAGATGATTAAGGATGATCTTACTGAAGTCTTCAGGATCCTAAAAGGTTCAGGTAACATGGTCAAGAGGGCAAAACACAAGCGCATAGTCTCAAACTCAGGAAAGGAGGAAGTGGGAATAGACAAGTTTGGACTTTGCTCATCACAAGTTAGTTACTATACCAGACAGTTTGCCTGGGGAGTTGGTGGTGGCAGACAGCGTGCTCAAATTATTTTCTGACAGGGAGTGGGATTGGTGGTGAAATAGGGAGTGATGGAATTTGAAGACGGGACCAATCAGAAAGGCTGTTTTTCCATCACTACGTTACCACAAGAAACAGAAAACTATGAGTTGTCTTTTTTTAAAAAAATACTAATGTGGACCATCTTTGATCTCACTCCCAAACTATTCCTCTTTGCTTCCTCCAATTTGCCTCTCTCCAAACCTATCCTTTATCATACAATTTCCTCCACATCTGTTTTTCTCCCCGGTTTTGTTCTTTTACTTCTGCCTTCAACCTGTCTACATTCCCCGCATCACAGTGACCACATCCTCTGTCACAAGTGTTCAACAGAAACGCACACTTTCTCCTCCCTCCCCCATCAAACACTTGACAGGGGCAAGCATTAGGCCCATATTACAACAAAATGTAGACCTGACCAATTACTAGATCCAATCCTCCTGTGAGGGAGGGGAGTGGGGGTGGGGGGATGGGGTGTAGAGGCAAAAAGGCAAGCACGATCTTCCTGAAGCCATAAATTGGCTCCAAGGTGACACGTTTGTCAACTGAATGTTGAAGTTCAATAGCACGATGTTAGTGGTTCCACACTTTGTTGGTGGTGGGGGGGGTGGGGGGTGGTAGGCCAGTGACTAGAGGTTCTGACGAGGTTCTGCTGGATGCAAAATGTGAACCGCAGACTTATACTCAGAATATTCTGTGCAGGCGAGGGGGGAGAGCGAGGTGGACAGGGGTGGGGGAGGGTTCGATTTGAGCACTTACCAGGTCTGGCTCCCACAGGGACTCACACATGCCGTACATTTGCTCTGAGCAGGTCCCACTGACCACAAAATCGTCAGTCTCCATGGGGCAGCCAATTACATCGAGTGAACAAATGAAGGGTTCAAAAGTTTTTGGATGAAGTCCGGCAATGACGGGATCCACGTAGTAAGGGCCAAATCTGCAAATGTTATGTAGTTTTTAGCAGCGTGTTTTTATCTGCAATTCACCCACCCTGGGTCCCACATTCACAATCGCAGACTAGCCATTACAGTCAAGCTTCAAATGTACTCTGGTTACATTCCCAAAGAGAGAAAGTGGACATTGCCCACAAATAATGCCATCCCCAGGGTTGAGATGGTAAATCCATTACCCAGTAAAGAAATGAGCTTCACAGATCAGCAAGGTCACAGGCAACTGATCTCAATGGGAAGTAAGAATCAGCCACGTGCTCACTCCTGATTTGATGATATCTGCTGAAGAGTGTATGTGTGCAGAGTCTCATGAAGACGCTATGTCGGCAGACACTCCACAGCCTGCTGACACTTACTTTCTCTCTTATACAGAACAGGTACTGGTGATAGGGTGGGGTGGGGGTGGGGGGGAGGTGTGGTAGACCACATCCGCGGAATCGCACTGAAACGCGACTCTAATCCTCGGGGGAGAAGGGGACGAAGTGGATCTGGCGAGGGAAATGAGAAAGAAATGATTTGTCTCCTCCCAAAAGCTAGTCACAGTGGAGGGGCAGGATGACAAGCAAGGGATAAGGGAAGGTGACAACAGATGAGGTCAACAGTTAAGTTTTAAAGTGGGATTTAAACCCAGAAAGGGGGGGGGAAGGGAGTTCCACACATTGGGGGGGGAGGGGTGGGGGGTGGGAGTAACTGAAAGCTCACAGAAACAGCACGGGGAAATAATAGACGATACGAGTCCAAAGCAGGATGGAGGGTTTAACTCACCGTCGCTCATAGAGGAGATTGGAGACCATGCTCATAAAGGTTTTAGGTTTGATCTGTCTGCCTTCTTTTAATTCATACAGGTTCAGCCTGAACTTTAGACGCTGGGAGCTAGAGAATGAAACAAGAGGAAGCATTAAGAGCGGCAGACACCTCCAACTTAGTCCAGAAAAAAGCCCAGAATCTTATCCAAGTTACTGCGCAGCCAGGCAAGTTGCATTTGTTAGGTTTCTTCATTTGTGTGGCCCAATGCTTCAAGCTGAGATGACAACATGATAACCCATGTTCATCCCCAATGCCCAGTACAGATTGAATACTAAGCCCACCAACTTGCCCAGTTAAAATGACCAGAGGAACACTAATCCAAATGGCTTGAACCATTTACTTATAGAACTTTAAGAAAATTCTTAAATTTAGTCTTCATTTGCAGGCTTATTTTCTCTCAAAAAACCAACTTCCAAATTTAGACAGGAATATAAGAATTCCCCACTTTAACATTTAAGACAAGCTGAACTCACAGGCTAGGACAAAGAGAAATTTCAGGGCTCTTCTTTCCTAACTGGAATTTTCAAGCGCATCTCTCTGTTACTTACACAGTCTGTACGTCTGTAGCAAGACCAGCCAATCCAATATATAGTCTCTCCCCCATAGGGTAGATTTTCTGAAAGTCAGTTGTCACCAACTGCGCTTGAATTCCGAACCTCCTGTCGGATGCGATCGCCACACAGTTTTTTCCCTTCATGGCCATGATGGCAGCACCATTGTATGACATGTGCGACTGGAAAGGCAGAAAACAAAGCCTGTTAGTTGAAGACCAAGCAATGATCAACATGAACCTGGAACTCTCTCCCTCAAAAGGTTGTGGATTACGGCTGGATCCATTCACATCTTCAAGACTGAGGAAGATAGATATTTGTTAGGTTAGGGTATTAAGGGATACGAGGCAAGGGCGGAAAATTGGACTTGAGGTGCAGATCATTCATGATCTTATAGAAAGGTGGTATAGGCTCAAGGGGATGAATGGCCTACTCCTGTTTCTAAAGTAACACATTCCAATAGCATCCTAAATATTAATTCCTTTGTAGCTTCAATAACTAACTTCTTAAGATCGAAGACACATTCTTATACAATTAAATTGAAAAACAACGTATTAGCTGGTTGCAAACTCAAGTCAGTTACATATGTATTCAGATCATCTGTGACAGGAATTATTGTGTTCTGGGCTGGGTTACGGTGCAATGTTTCTGCAGTTTCATTTACCAATTCTAGAACTTGAATTCGATTAGATTCTCTGCCTCCTCTTCTCTCTCAGCCCCTCCGCCCCGACTCTGTTCCCCATTATTTTCTAAATGGACAGGAGTGAGCGAGCAATCTTGCGCAGGCTTCTTAGCAGATGGGTATCCATAGCCACTACACTCGACTCCACAAAATCCAACCCTGAAGCTTGTAATTCAACCTTCTGTTTCTGAGCGGCACCCTGTACACTTGCAGGTGATCAGTCAGACTTCCTTATTCAACTTCAGTCTGAGCTGGTAAGGGTAGTTTGTTTGAAAAATTAGAATGGCTCAGCATTTAGGATTGCTCAGCATTATAATTAGTATTAATTTGGATCCCGGTCATTGTTACAGAATCCTAGACATACATGCTGAGCCAAAAAGAATATCAAATTTGTAATTTTTTTTTAAAAGATGACAAATATTACAACAACTTGCATTTATACAGCACCTACCATTATTATGGTAGCACTGATATGCCCAAATGAAGAAACTCACAAGAAACCATTTCTCTCTTCTGTGCCTCTCCCCCACCCCCCAAAAAATCATATTTTTAAGATGTAGCAAAATCATTCATTCATACATACATAACACAGATACACACACAGTCAGCAGTCATGCATTAGAAGAATTTCTGAACCTGTGAACGGATTGGATTGATGATGCACATTAATTCCAGTACATTAAGCAATGTGAATTCTGAGTGGAAACTGATATCCGAGTACATGGAGTCAGGTCAAGTCATAGACGCAGATTCAATCCAGTTCGGTTGACCAGCCAATTTGGACAAGTGGCATCAGAATAGCAGCAGGAATCTCGAGTAGATTTCACAACGCACTACAAATTGGGAATTCTGACTGATCACCTGCTAGTGTATAGGGTGCCGCTCAGAAACAGATTGCAAAGTCATGTTACTGTACTGATGTCAAAGACAGCTTCATGCTGTCTCTCCCCAGTAAGCTATCTTCTGGTTCTGTCTGATTGCTCTTTTGTTTTAAAAAAGCAGATACTTCTGCAGCCAATAAACCCCATCCTGTCCTTTTCAAGGATGCAGTAGAATCAAAGGAACAGAATGGAAACGTAGGTTGCAAATGCCCGTGGAGTTGTTCCACACTAAGAGCCAAATGAACAACAACAAATTATTAAACAAGACACACCAAATGCATATTAAATAAACAAATGTCAAAATGTGAAGAGAGTAAAATAATAAAAAATATATATAAATATAAAAACAACTGGAGTGAGACTTGACAGATCCCAAGTGAGGATAAGTAATACGTGTGGTCAAACTTCAGGCAGAGGGGAAAATGACTGACAACACAGGCATCTGACTCAGATGATAACACATTGATCTTTGGCTCAGAGGTGAGTGGGTTAAAGCCTCATTTCTGGATTTTCTGCTGCTTGTCTTGGTTAACGCTCCAGCGCAGTGCTTCGGGAGCTGCTCTGCATTGTCAGGGGCGCCATCCTACAGAAGAGACATTAAAACAAACTCCCACCATTATGCCCTGTCCAAATGGACATTAAAGGTCCCGAGACACTGTGGAAAAAGAAGGGACTTTTCTCTCCCAGTGTCCTGGTCGACAACTCCCAAAAAATAAAATCGATCATTCACTTTGTGGCGGTTTACAGGACATTCCAGTGCGCGATTTGGCCGCTCGCTCTCGGACCTGCAAAACAATCACCGCGAGCAAAACTGGGAAGCCGTTTGAGACGTCCCGAGTGACACGATAAAGCGGAAACGCCAATTGCTGGGAACATTATTACTATTTACTGCACATTTTTTTTATAAAAAAATGCTCATCCTGAAATAAAAGCAACAGCAAAGTCTGACCGGAGAGAGAGATCAGAATAAAGGGGGAAAAATCTGGGAGGCGATATAAGGTTCGTCCCCGCGGCTTAGACATCGGTGGAGTCCCGCCGTGTAGTGGTTAACGCGCTCGCCTCGCACGCGGGAGGACCCGGGTTCGATTCCCGGGCGGGGCAAAGCCTTACAAGTTTCCGTACGCGACACGGATTAGCGGATGGCTTTCTGGGGCGAGGGGAGGGGGGGGGGGGGCGAGGGGGGGGGTAATAATCCCTCTATATTAAAAAAAAAGTCACCGAATCCGCGACTGCCTGTGGGGACGGTGCTGTGCGCAATTGGCTGCCGCGTTGGGTCAACAAAATACAGTCACTACACTTCACGGGATACGCCGCCGTGAAGCGCTTTGAGACGTCCGTCTGTCTCAACGTGGCGATGGGGAGGCACGACAACTGCAAAGATTATTATTAGTAGTATTATAATATATATATATACATTTACAGTTGGATATTATATGACATGAGATTAAAACCCGGTCTGAAATAAAAGCGAAAGGCTTTGGTGACAGGAAGGCCTCAGTGTGTAGGCCCTGAGGGGGGGGGGGGGGACAGGGAGGCCCGACCACCCACCCACCCACCCCCCCGGGCCCCGGGTTCACTCACACCTTATCCCCTCGCTCGCTGCTCCCGCTACTCACCATGACAGACAGCTGTTAGCGGCCCCGGGCTCCCTGCCCCCCTCACAACACGGCACGAACACACCGACGCCTTTCCCACCGGGCTCCGCGCCGCCTGCTCCTGCTGCCGTTCACACTAACCTGCTGCCGCCTCCGCTCCCATTGGCCACCGTGCCGGGGGGCGACGGCCCGACGCGCCGTCCGATTGGTTGAGCTCCACGTCCGTCAGTCCCTCGTCCCGCCCATCCCCCCCCACGTGGGCCAGCAAGTTCGGTTGCGAAAAGTGACGAGTCACTGCGACCGCGGCCGTGCGCGGGGTTTGCCGGGAAGGCGGAGGACCAGGAGCTGGAGGGCCAGTGGGACAAAGGGAGGACAAGTTTTGGGAGAGAGACTATTTTTTTTCACACACACCACAAACACTTGGAAGCCATTGTGTTAGCGTTACCGAAATAAAAGGAAAGGGAATGCCAGGGAAGTGCGGTGTCCCCCTCCGCCGGAGGTGTGGAGAGCCGCTTGAGGGATGACACAGCCATCTCCAAACGTGCCCATTGGGGTTCTCAGCCCATCTCATAAAACCTGTCCAGTTTGCATCTGCCTCCCCTCACCCTGACCATGTCCCCCACCCCCCCCCCAAGGCTCAGGTCCCGACCCAACTGTCTCAGCGCCTTGGGACGTCCTCCCGACGTGAAAGGCGCTCTATAAATGGAATCTTGTTGTGGTTGTTGGTGCCCTTGTTTTTCGAGTTCAGCTCTTAACTGATCGGAAAAAGTCATCCTCTACATTATCACCATCATCGTCGTAATCATTCCCGTTGTCTTCCCAAAACCTGGGCATCTTCATCTTCCTGTCGAGCGATGGGTAGTTTGCAGCGATCAGAGGCTGGGTCATTGGGCAAAGCTCTCTCGAGCTGAAAGGCAAAATCTTAATAACTATTACTCGTCAAAATAACTTGTGGATCCAATTAAAGTAGCGAATAATTATGTTTTTTTTTAAAATCTCTTTCCCTTTTAGTGAAGGCTATAAAGCACGTTAACCCAGGCAGGGTTTCTTCAAGTCAATGTGATGAGCATTTCAATGTTGGATTTCCTCTCTTATTCCAACTCAGGTAGTCATGGGGGTGGTGGGTGGGGTGGGGGGAACACCTTAATGTGGAAAACAAGGTGATCTAGGTGCAATCCTTTCACTCTCCTGACAAAATAATTGCAGTTCAAAGCTGCCTTGATACGCAGAAACAATAATCAATTAAGACAGCAGTAGTTACAGACTTAAGCTAATGAGTGATATTTATTTAAGGAGTTCAGATAGAATATGACACTAAATGTCGATGCAATGACAAAAGAGCAGGTATTAAAAAAGTTCCTTACTGTTGGATACTAATTAATAAATAAGGATCAATTGACTAGGAATAAGGTCTTGTACCCCACTGCCTATCGATTTATAAACCACATAAACTTGTAAGCCGGATAAGTATTTGTGATTGCTGTAGAGCACAAACACTCACTGCATTGAGCCCATAGACAAGTATCTTTTTTTTTATCTTTAGAGTATTTCCAGCGCCTTGGGACGTCCTCCCGACGTGAAAGGCGCTATACAAATGTAATCTTGAATTCAAGATCCTCATCCTCACCTCGAATTCAAGATCCTCATCCTCACCTACAAGGCCATTCACGGCCTCGCTCCCTCCTACCTCTCCGACCTACTGTCCCCCTACCTACCTGCCCGTACCCTCCGTTCCTCTGGCTGCTCCACATCCCCCGCCCCAACCGCCCTACCATCGGTGGCCGGGCCTTCAGCCTCTCAGCCCCGAGGCTCTGGAACTCCATCCCCCAGTGCCTTCACCTTGCCTCCTCACTTTCCTCCTTCAAGGCCGGTCTCAAGACCTTTCTCTTTGACTGTGCCTTCAGCTCCCCTCTCGACTCTCTACCCCCTCTTCGCTCCCTCTCTTCCCTCCCCTCACCCTGACCATTTCCCCCCTGCTCGCTCCTTCCCTCCCCTCACCCTGACCATTTTCCCCCCCAAGGCTCGGGTCCTGACACAACTGTCCAGCGCCTTGGGACGTGAAAGGCGCACTATAAATGGAATTTTGTTGTTGTTGTTGTTGTTGTTGTAATCTTGTTGTTGTTGCTTTTGTAAAACTGGTGCACGTAACAAATTACTTTTAATGGTGGTTAGACAGAGTGCGAAATAGTCAACTTGGACGATCGGTTCGCAAAATTGATCATTTGTTTATTCTGCCCAAACCACACGAAGATTGTGAGGAACACAAAGTGTTCAACAAATATACTTTGGCCAAAGGACAACACGGAAAAAAAGCTCAGATATAACACAGCTGCTCTGAAAAGCAATATGTTGTACAGGACTATATCATGTTAACATAACCCAGGGGCATTGTTAATAATTACTATACTTTTATAATTACTAGTCAACACTTAGAAAGCCAAATTTCCTTACGGAAATTGTAACAATAATAATCCTTACATAATAGTTTTGGTGACTAGAACATTAGGTTAATATACTTTAGAAGCCATTGTAAATCAAACCTTCAGTTGAATCTTCTATTATTGTATAGTGATTATTATTATTATTTATATAATGCTCTTAAGGATTTTCAAACAATACTAGTGAATGGGATCCCCACACTGGAATACTATACTTAAATGTGTGGTTTAATCATACATACAGAATGAAAATAATTAACCCAAAGACATGGAGGTAAAAGCAGACAGTAAAGGAAAGGCAATATTTTCTATACATTTTATTATATTTTTATGCTGAAATGAATGATTTTTGAACAGGAGGATACAGCGTTGAATGAATACGATCTGACAGATCATTTCATTTACGAGAGAGGGTGTAATAGGAGGATTGAGCTGATGGTTTTCTTTCTCTTTGACTTGTTCTCTTCCTAAATGTTGTCATCAACACCCTGTGGTGTAGATTGATCTATCAGGTTTTATATTTCATGTTTCTGGAAGGGAAACACAAAAGTATTGCTTATGCGGGCATCTGGCCCTCAGCAGCCAAAAGATTGGACTACCCTATAAAATAAGCTAGACTATACTATTGCTTTCTGTTAATGCCCCACAAAAGTAGTTTTGTTAGAACAATTGCCTTGCAACACACTGACCTGTAAGTAGCTGGACTGTGTTAAAAATGATTTCTCCACATGCATATCAGGCGTTTGAAGGAAAATGTGACTGCAGACCTAAAATAAAGGGAAATTTATTTAAAAGCTTAAGTGGCCACCAAAAAAGCCAAGCTTTTAGAAAGATTTTTGAAAGTGCAATTATGATTCCATTTTGAAAATAATTACAAGATGCAATTTATATTTCTTGAACAAGGTGGTAAGGTCTGTTTGTCGGTGAGTATTGCTAGAATGAGTGCTTGCCTATTAAATGCTTAGAAATACATATTGCTGGTTTTCCAATAAGGATTTATTCATTGTTTATATGTGTAAAACAAAATTATAAAAATATGATATTGTCAGACAGTATGTTGTGTCTTTATTAAATTACGAAAGAGTAACCTACTACAGTACATTTCATCCGATAGAATATGTCCGTATTCCAGGAAACAGATTTAAAGCCTAAAATAAGATGTTGCTATCACAAAACAGAAAAAAATCCTGATTTGTGGGAGAAAACTGGTAGAAGAATACAATACACGGGGTTGTTATTGCTATTCCAATCTATTAACTTGTAATTTGTATCAATCGATTGATTTACAAGCTAAATTATATTGGAATAGTTCCAATAATATAAATATTAATATTATTAATAATCCTTGTATTATAATAATGATTTCAAGCAAAAGTGTTTACTGTCCGTGTATATACTGCAAAGTGAAAAAATCATCGATAAATGATCTGCTCATAAAATAACCAATTTTTTGTTGATCAACTGCTGCATGCATTACTTCTGAGCTTACTTCTTGTTGAGTTTATTTTTCCTCTTTCCAACCATAAATGAGATGTGGAAACTCCCCAGCGCGCCAGAGTATGCTAGCTACAATATTCTGTGTGTAATTATAACACAGATTATGGTCATTGTATATTTACTTGTGTGTATGTGTTTGGAAACCCACAAAATAGTGGGACCAGAATCACAGTATTTGTCAAATGTCTTTGCTTATCTGTGAAGCAGAAAGGTCAAAAACTGCTCCAGATATCCAGAGGCAACGGATTCAAAGTATTGTTTTTTTCATATCACAAAAAAACTATAAGAAGGATATTACACCTAAGGATCCAACCCCCCCCCACACACACCCTTTCTAATATATTTTACTCAGGGATATTTTACTCAGGGATATAACATTTATACAAGCAAAACGAAACATTTTTTGAAATATAAAAAAAAGTTCCCCCAAAAATACATCATTTAAAAGAACAGGCAGTACTGACAAACACCCCCGTCTATCAAGAAGGTAAAACGTGTTGGCACCATATTGCGGGCAAGGCCATTTTGCCCACAAATATACGGTCAACTCACGTTACAGTCTATTCTGTGAAGCGCTTTGAGACGTCGAGAAGACATGAAAAGCGCTATATCAAATGCAAGGATTATTATTATTAAGGCCGTATTTTAACCCTAAAACAAGACGCCAGTTCCTGCTAATTGTAAACTCAATGCAAGAGAATCCCTCCCCTTCTGCTGATCTCATCCTTAAAACCAGATCCTTTCTGTTGATCTGGCTCCTACCATTTTTTTGCTATATTCCAGTCCATAAAACAGGACGATTATTTCCGCGAAACTCAAGTCTAACAAACGATGTTTTTTTCTGAGCCCCAACCCCTCACACAGTAGTATAATTCCTGGCAGCTGCAAAGCTCCATGTCTGTCTGTCCTCATCCCAGGTTCTTTCCACCAACCTTAATCTTACAGCTACTGTTGAAACAGCAACATGGTCAACACCTGAATGAGGAGAATAAATAAATACAGAAGAAAGATATTACAGCGAAAGGTATATTTCCCAATCAGAGCTCCCCACATCCCCCACTTCCATTGAATACCTATATTTTACTCAGGGATATATTAATTATTACAGGCAAGAAAGAATCAAATATGCAGATGACTGCCAAACGATGCTAAAA